ACAGGTTTAGAATAAGAAATAACAAAAAAGAAATCTTCATTTTTGGGTGAACCATCCCTTTAAGGAATCATTATTTAACCTGTTTCCACCTGGTATTCACACAGTTGTGTTCGAACTTCATTAAGACCCTTCTTCTCTTATTTACTTTTGCGGGAGTGCTCAACATGAATGAACAGTATGTATGTATGTATGTATGTATGCACGTATGCATGTATGTATGTATGTATTATTTATTATTTATTTTCACTTTTTAAAAATTACATTTAGCAGAAAAAAACAGGATAAGATGAAAAACAATTACAAATAAAACAAGTTGGTGGTTCTTTCTGCTATGGTGACCCGATTAATAAAGGGAATAAGCATATATAAAAATGAATGAATGAATGAATGAATGAATGAATGAATGAATGAATGAATGAATGAATGAATGAAAAAGGAGAAGGGACAAGGCAGTCATTATAGGGGTTATAAAATCAAGTCAAAATGCATCTGAATTATCACATATTGTTTACAATGACATACTCAGTCATTACTTATTGCATTTTTTTTTAAATCAAGTCTTAGATTTGGCATCAGTCTCTTCTTACAGTGTATTTCATTTACAATTTGTATTCATGGAGGCATTGTTGGAGGATCAACTTGAAAGCATTTTTCGAGTTATGGCTTTTCTACTACTTACCAAAAGCATTTGAATTAAGTATTTGTCAATAGTTGGAACAATTTCATGAGTGAACAGTATTGAATGAACTAGCTCATGTTACAAGGCTTACAAGAGAGGGAAAGCAACATATAAAAACTGATAGAAACTACAATTTTGATGCACATATTGACCATCCAAGTACATGCAAACAAAATGTTAAGGCTTTAAAAAAATAAATTAAAATAATTCTCAATTTGAATCAAGTGTTTAAAGTGTCCTGAAGAGAAACACTTGCTTTATATGATTAAAGGATTCAATATATTCAAATACTCGGACAACAAAATGAATTAAAATGAACATGTAAACATCAAAAATGGTAAAATGAAATTTTCTTATTTTATGTAAAGTACACTAATTTCATGATCCAGTTAAATACACATAAACGTTCTTTAAACTATTAGTTATCAACAAAAATAAAAAATTATGATTCCATCTCTAACTACATCAAAAATGTTCTAAATATTGTTTTTTATTAAGTATTTTATTTATTTTTTGTGATTAATTATTATACACATGGATGTTCAAATGTGTGACATTCTGGGTTTTGTACATTTTATGAACCATTATTATATTTTTATGTAAATTAAATATTGAAATAATCATTTATGCTGAAATACTGTACATAAGACGCATATTGAAACTTTACTTTGTTCTGCTGTATATATAACTCCATATGTGACCTTCGACTGAATAAATAAGCATCCCACTGATGTTTGGTATGTTAAGATAGCACAATATTTGGCAGAGATTCAACTACTTGAAAATCTGAGAGTTAAAAAAAAAATACATATATAGAAAACTGCCTTTAAAGTTGTCCAGAATTAACTTCTAATGCTTATCATATATAAAAATAACTTTTAATATATTAACAGTAATAAATGTACTAAATGTATTGGTGTGGCATGATCTTTTCATAATACAATGCTTTTAGGCATAAAAGAAAAATCAATATTTTTGACTTATTAATTTATGGCTTTTCCTACAAATATACTCATACAATGTACAGTACAACTCCTGATGTTCTCTAATAATCTATACATTGTTCGCCCTTCGGTCTACAATGCCTGTCTTTACTAAACCTCTAAAGTAATGGTCTCAAACTCAATTCCTGATGGGCCGCTGCTCTGCATAGTTTAGGTCCAACCACCTCCAACTCACACCTGCTTAATAGTCTCTATCGTCTTGAACATCTTCATTAGATGGATCAGCTGTGTTTGATTAGGGTTGGAGCAAAGCGGTGCAGAGCTGCTGCCCACCAGGAATCCAGTTTGAGATCTACAGTTGGAAGTCAGAATCATTAGCCCCCTGAATTATTAGCCCCCCTGTTTATTTTTTTTTCTAATTACTGTTTAATGGAGAGAAGTTTTTTCAACACATTTCTAAACATTATAGTTTTAATAACTCATCTCTAATAACTGATTTTTATTATCTTTGCTGTAATGACAGTAAATAATATTTTTATTAATATTTTTCAAGACACTTCTATACAGCTTAAAGTGACATTTAAAGGCTTAACTAGGTTAATTAGGTTAACTTGGGAGGTTAGGGTAATTATGCAAGGTATTGCATAACAATCGTTTGTTCTGTAGACCATTGAAAAAAAGAAATTAGCCTAAAAGGGCTAATAATTTTGCCCTTAAAACGGTGATCAAAAAATGTAAAACTGCTTTTATTCTAGCCGAAATAAAACAAATTAGACTTTTTTTCCAAAATAAAATATATTATCAGACATACTGTGAAAACTTCCTTGCTCTGTTGAACATCATTTGGGAAATATTTAAAAAAGAAAAAAAAAAATCAAACGGGCTATTAATTCTGACCTTTTTTTGCCCGAGAGCCCCTTTTTCTCAGAAAAATATTGTAAGGCCCCCTCCCAATTTAATGATATAATCGCTCATATAAGTTTGCAGTTATGATGACAAAAATTTTTTTCTTTCAAACAAACTGTGTTTTTTTTACTACATCTAGATATGTTTATGCACCAATATTAGCCTAATGTTTCCTAGAGATGGGTTGCAGCTGGAAGGGCATCCGCTCCGTAAAACGTGCTGGATAATGATGATGAATAAATGATATAATGAATGAATGTATAAATGAATAATAGCCTAATGTAAAATATAAAAGCAAAACATCAGTAGGCCATTTGTAACTGAAAAATGTAAGCCTTTGGCCTTTAAAATGACCCTCTGAAAAATTCAATAACGAAAATATCAGTATTCACACAGGTTTATAAGGGAAAAAAAATAATATAGGCTATTACAATTTACTACTTGCATGTTATTTGTTATGCTCTATTAATTAGTGTGAGGAATGCTGTGTGATGAATGAGTGAGACTCTGTCTTTTTTGTGGAGGACGGATAACAAGTTTTTCCATTTTTGGTCAGCTAGGGCAATGATTCTCAACCTTTTTATCACCACAAACCAGTCAAAGTATGACAATTTTACAACGGGGGGTTGGGGGGGTTTCGTAGGTTGCTATACGACCATCAACTGTTTTCTCAGAAGATTACAAACTGACAAAACATAGCTGTCATGTATCTCTGATACAAGTTTTATATATTGAGAAAAGTATAAAGGACTGCTTGTTTGTGTGCTCTGTGTTTGTCTGAGTAAATTAGTCTTACCAAAATTCCATACAACCTAAAGCTGACTGGTCAATTCTTGTCATGAGACTTGCGGTGCGCTCGAGGCCCAGAGAATGCAGTAATTTTTCAAAATAAAAGATTTTTCAAAAAAAAAATATATATATATCATTCAGACTCGGATAATAAATAAAACGGAAATAATTAAAGATTTCTTGTGTGGCCCGATACCAATTGATCCACAGACCGATGGTTGAGAACCACTGAGCTAGGAGATAAAATGAGCTAAGGCAACATGATCATTTTCGTAATTGTCCATTGCTAAGATTTTTTTTTTTTTTTTAAATATGACGCGACCCCCCACAAAGCTGTTGGGAACCGCTGCTCTAAAATATGGAAGCTAAATTTAATTTTAAGCCTCAAATTAAATTTTGCACAAAGAGACAACCTCATCTTAATCCCAAACTCTTGTGAATTGTGAATTGGTTGTTTTTCCCTTATTAGTGTGGAGTATTTATCCACACTGTATAAACAGAGAAAACACTTTTTTAAAGTATAAAGCATACTTTCTAATCCATGAAAGTACCCGCAGAAGTGTCAAAGTTTTTTAGCAGGAGATTATTCATAAAAGTTAAAGCAGCAGAATCTTATTGTGTGTGTTTGTTTGGCATGGAGTGTGCATGAGTGTTCCAGTAGTTTTTGTTGTGTAAAAAAAAAAAAAACATGTTAAAGCTGGTGGGTCAAAATTGACTTGAAAGACAACCCTAGTACCCTAAATGTGTGCAGCCTTCATGAAAAAATAAAGAAGATAAAAATTGTCAATTGAACCTAGCAAAAAAAAAAAAAAAAAAAAAAAAAAAAAAAAAAACCTTTTAGAAAAAGTCACCAAACTTAGATAAGTTATAAGAAAAGACTAGATAATAGAAACATTGTTTAGTATTTGTGTTTTCATTAATTTATTCATTCATTCATTATCTTTTTGGCTTAGTCCCTTTATTAATCAGGAGTCACAACAACGGAATGAACCACCAACTTATCCAGCATAGGTTTTACGCAGCGCATGCCCTTCCAGCTGCAACCCATCACTGGGAAACACCCAAACATTTTCATTCACACTCATACACTACGGACAATTTTTAGCTTACCAAATTCACCTGTAACGCATGTCTTTCGACTTGTGGAAACCAGAGCACCCGGAGGAAACGCAGGGAGAACATGCAAACTCCATTCAGAAATGCCAACTGATCCACCAGAGGCTCGAACCAGTGACCTTCTTGCTGTGAGGCGACAGCACTACCTACTACGCCCCTTATTTGTGTTTTTTTGTTTTTTTTTGTTTATTGCTGTGTAAGAGCAACTTTTGTGTACAACTTTTAAGCAGACAAACAAAAAAAAAAAACTGAAAAGATGCAACATTGTGAAAAACGTGTAAACTGAGAAACTATTTTTCTGATCAGAATTTTGTAGAAAAAACTGTATATTTTATCTCAAGCCAACCAAGTCTCATTCAGTGTTCATGAATATGCTGTTTATTATGTATATTTCTATATTTTAGGCATTTCCAGAACTGGAAAAGAAGAACAGACCAAACTTAGAATAAACTTTAAGAAAAGTTTATTAGCAGCAGATAGAATAAGGCATATGTGAACTACCACAGGAGTGAAGAGTGCAGCGCAGCTTTAGATGCACTGGATGGAGAAGGAGAGAAGACTCTTACCAGCTCACGAGGAAGGAACATGTCTTCCTGTCTGGCCACAACCAGACACACGCTGTCCCCCTGCTTAGTACTGCGTAACATGGCCACCAACTCCTCCTGAGAGCGGCCGCCGATGTCCACACCATTCACCTAAACAAAAACAAAAACATTGGTTTTAATAAATTTCCTGAACACATACTGTACACACTAATGTAAAACAACAGATTTTCCCATCTGAAGCCATCACCAACCTTATTACAGATACTCACTTCTAGGATGCGGTCACCTGACTGAAGGCGACCATCTTTGACAGCAGCTCCTCGGGGTAGGATGTTTTTGACGAGGATGGGGCCTGGGCCATGGACGGAAGAATCTCTTGTGACAACAGTGAAGCCCAGACCTTCAGGACCTGTGTGAAGATTGAGAGAGATCAGGATTAAAGAGTTACACATTAAATTACCCAAATTGTCAGCAACAATCTATGAATAGTGTTCTATTTCCCAGACTCAATACATAAATCCAATGAAAAATTAGCAAGATTTTTATATATAAATACAATTGTAGTAAAACACCTGTAAAAGGCACCTGTGAGGCGATCATGCTACCCACTGCACCACAGTGATGCCCAAAAGCAAAAATATCAACATACTTTTTTAGCTACTTTTCTGTCTATATTTTTAGGAGTATGTCAAGAGTCTTTGGTTTCCAAAACAAAATGTTGCTAAAAACTATTTTAAACACCTCAAACATTAAAAGTCCAGTGAAATTGAAATAATGTTTTTTTAGATGTTATTATCAGTATGTTAGTCTACACAGACATCTAAAAGCGAGTGCGAAACAAAACAATGACAATTCGCATTTAGAAGATATAAACATGTAAAGTTTGCAATTTGTCACTTCCGCCAATATGGACAAAACAAAAACGTTTATTTTTGTTGTTGTTGTTTTTTTCATCAACTCATACTTCAGTTTCTCGTTAAATCTTGACCAATCAAATGCTCACTAGTATCTAACAAGCCCTGCCCCCTTCAAGACGCTTCATTTGCTGTTCTTACTGGCAGATTAGTGATAAAACAAAATGCGATTGGATGTTTTTATTTTATTTATTTATTTTTTTAAGGGGTGGTCCAGAATGTAATTTTAAGGCTTGGTTGTGCTTATAAGATGCAAAGCAATGCGTGCACATGTTTCACTTGAAGGAAATCAGGTTATTTTTTTATAAATCTCACTTTGATTATATACAGCTACTCAGCTAATGTAAAAACGACTGATATATTTCCTAGGTCTTCTGAAAATCCTGCCTTCAAGAGGCTCTGATTAGTCATCATCTATCATAATGTGCAATGATTCACGGGTCGGTTCCACATCACGCCTGTACAAGCACGCTCTTTTATCATGTGTACACAGTCAGTCAACCTCATGCCCGCTCTCTAAAATAAAATCAAAATGACAAGTGTCTGTGACGAGTGAAAATAGGGTGCGGCTCCTTTAAGAGAGATCGCTATTGTGTGTGTGTGTGTGTGTACTATCTGTAGATGTGTGTAACACAAGAAGCACATGTACGCAAGACCGATGTTAATTTTTCTTTTTCTCTGATGCTCGGATTAAGTTATTTTCTGTAATATATACACTGTTGACAGATGATTAAAGCACAAGATGTGGGATGTGACCCATGTGAGCTTTGATTGCTTTTTTTTTGCTGATAGTGTGTGTGTGTGTGTGTGTGTGTGTGTGTGTTTACAGCGGTTTGACTGATAAATATGAATTTGTAGCTAAATTGTTAGCGGTGCCAAATAGCATTTCCGGGTGTTTACTTCTTTGCTACAACATAATGTTAACGCTACATACTGTACATGTCATGATCAATTTTAGCAAATAAAAACTCACAACCTTCTGCTTGTTAGAGCTGCTCCTTCTTTGAAGAGATTTAACCGAATCCAGCACTGAATTGGGAGATATTCTGGAAGCTGTGTTTTGTCAAGTCATGCTTTCTATGTATTTTATAATTCTCTGGAACATAATTAATATCGAACTGTGAGCACTTCTGTCTTTGTGTCATGTTATTTGGAAGCCCAAATACAGAAACAGAAAAAGCTCTGTGGAATATGGCAGCGTTTGGACGTCCTGGACATTTTAGATGTTCTCTCTGCTGTAACATTACAGTGCCTCTGGCCATGCCCCTTAGCTGCGCAGTGTGTTTGCGTGCAATAAAAGTGCGTTTGTGATCTTACTAAGTATTTTTTTATAGTCCCAAAATGCGTTCTTTTGCTAACTCTTTGCTAATCTAAAAACCAAGGTTTCCCTTTGCATTGAACTTTGAGCATTTAACATTTAGAGATGCTGTTTATGTTCACACAGCTACATTACACATCAACTAAAGTTTAAAATATGATATTGTTGTGGACCACCCCTTTAAAGAGGAGGAACCACTATGTAATGCCCTCTCTTTGTTTTCAGTTAAGATTATGTCAAACATTGAATAAAAAATGCATGTTAACATTTCAGAGCACTTCAAAGGGCCTATAAAGACTCATTGATCCAACAGAAAAGTACACTGTACACATGGCTGGGTCTGTTTTGGGTCTGTCAGAAATATTAGGGCTGATGGAGACCTGATGAAATCCTGGTGCCAGACGGAGAATAGAGACACCTGGCCTCAGAAAGTGAAAGTATATTTCAAAAAGCCTCATTTACACTATGAGAGACTAGCAGCAGCAAAGCGACAAGCGACCATTAATTTCAATGGAGAGTGAGCGACTTCCGGCAACCTCTGACCACACGAGCAACATCGACTGATGGCGACCAGGTGTGTGTCGAGCGACACAACAAAGTTGAGAGTCCTTCAACTTCATGCAAATGAAGCAACAGCCAACAGGAGCACCAGTAGATCTTACGCGATCCTCTCTCAGCTCACTCAGAGGTCGGTCGGTTGTATTTGTCCTGTATAAACCTATACATTTGCAGCAGATCTACACCCAGAGAGACAGGCAGCTAAAAAGTCACTGCTAGTGTGAATGAGGCATCAGAGAGCATGACATAATCCAAAGATGGTCTGTAATCAAGAAGAAAAGGATAATGCCAAAAAAATCTGACTTCAATTTTGAGCTGAAAAAGCTGACCCACAATAGAATCATCATTAATAGCCATTAGAAGATTTTTAAAGAGATTGACATAAAAAAGAGATCTTAAAGAATAAGCATTCCCATTTTTCCTTTCAAGCCAGATAAAAGCAAGATATTAAAAGAGGAGACCGCTGTCTAGCACAGGTGGTGGTCCATTTAAACTGCGCTGCCGCCTTGACCTGTGCATATTGCTTCTTACTGTGGTCTTGATGCTGTCAGCGTGACTGATAGGTAGATTAGAGAGCAGGCTATAGCCCTCAGTTTGACACAAGGCTCGTCTTTGGGGCGGATTTTCAGTCCTGTCCCTGAGCTCACGGACAAAATGATGGACAGAGCGCTGGGGTGAAGAAACTAAAGAGCGGACAGTGGTTTTTCTTTTACACGCTCTGCATCAGACTACACAGAACAATAAAAATGGAAGTCAGTCTCTGTGAGAAAAAAATGAAATAAAAAATGAGCACAGCTGGAGCGTGCAGTTGGAATTTTATGCTCGTCATTTAGCACAATCGCTTCACGGTCAGCACTTTTCTGTTCCAGCGATGAATTTATATCATCATTAATGGCAGAATCAATAAGAACTTAATAGACTTTGCAGGCTGAAATTATGGCTTCATTCATTTGGATAGACTGCCAAAACCATCGACTACAAAGTTGAGCAATGTTGGAGTAAGGGAGAGGATCGATTTGCTTTCGTTTAAAAGATCTAGCAGGAATAGCCTTGCTTTTTTTTTTTTTTTTTTGGTAATGAAAGTTTTGATGCACTGTTTATGTTGGGATTTTTTAAAATGGGGACTAAGGATAAGCAAAACAAAATGAACATGAAAGAGACCTCATTTCTTTCCATATTTCTTGCTAACGTCAAACTGAATGAGATTAATAAGACGTATTACAGTTTGTTACATTTAATGGAGCTCTTAAATTGATCAGGAAAATAAAATACAAATTTTGCATTGAAAATGAAAATTCTAACAGATTTGGAATACATTCAAACAAACCATCATGTTGTGAACAACACAGGCTTATTGGACGTGTTCTAGCCTTCAATTTTATGAAACCATAAAAAGTTAATAAATCTCATCATACTGTACATTCGACTGCAATTTCTAAATACAATGAAAACTAGGGGGCAGAATGATACCAACAACTACATTTCTTTCACTTTAATGAATTTTAGGCCTAATTCTTAATCTATTTTACCCCTTGGCCCTTGAAGTGTGAAGGGGAAAGGCTTCAAAATTTACCTCTAAGAAATGGGACTGCACTAAAACACCTGCACACGTCATCATGTCGTCGCAAGCTCTTACCTTATATGAGATCGACGATGCTGACTGCTGTAATTATTCCGATTGATAATTTTTTGATATTTATCTTCAGGAAATCACTGACGGCAACGATATTATGTTATCGTAATGATATAATATGGCAATAAGCTCATAACTGTACTGTGCATTTACAATGTGGCCATATTCATCTATGTAAACACACAAAAACAACATTAACATTATAGCAGAAACTGTAAAAAGGTTATTCCCAGCCATTAGACTTTTCTGACAGGGTATTCAAGTTTCATCAAGTAACATGTGAAAGTATGTTGTGGGACTACTATTACAACAGTTATTATTATTGATTCTAGATAGCGAAATTTAGGAGGAGGGGAGTATCATTATTTTGAAGCATGACGGTAAAACATGAATGATGTTATGAATGTATATGTATAAAGCATATGTTTGTTTGTTTGTAATAATGACAAAAAAAAAAAAAACACTCATTTGTGCATCTCCTGACTTGCGTGTGCATCCATGTTGCCGTTGTAGCTGGTGTATTGTGGTAAATTTACGTACCCCTTGGTTTCGAGTGTGGTCCTGGAAAATCTTAAGGGCTTTCTAGAATAGCTAAGGGATAGAATTGGGATTGGGCCTTACAGGGACATATTAGCAATTATGAAAGCATTATTGTCATACAGGTCTTTGGGCAACATCAAATAAATAACACAAAAAAATTAAAGATTTCTATCCAAATATGTTTGCTGAACTTATCTATAAACATATAAACATCTTTTTTCTGACATGGTCAGTTTGCTCATTGTACTCATAGTAAGGTTATGCATGTGTGATGCTGAGCACTCGAGTTCAATGAAGCAAGGTTCCACAAAAGAGATAAAACAAAATTAAGGTAAAACTGCATGGTTGCAGTGCATTTTTCTCTTACATTTGCTCTTTTGGTTTGGTTTATGGAAATGTTTTGGTCAGTAGTTATTTAGATAATCTAGACCAGTGTTTCTCAACCATGTTCATGGAGGACCACCAGCTCTGCACATTTTCCATGTCTCCTTAACCAAACACACCTGATTCAGAATCGTGCCTTGAATCGTGCCGAAGCGCGTTTGTCCCTTCTTCGTTCTACTCCGATGAAATTTAGAATCATTAATATATCCATATAAAACAGTTTCTTAAAAGTGATGTTGCGTGCAGTTTCGTTGCTTAAGCATGCTTTGCACCAACCGAACCATGCTCTGGCACACTTCTAACCTGGCCAGGGCCAGCCAACTAAACTGCGCCTGGGCCCGATTCGGAGCACTCACACTTGTCAAACAAACCAGGAAATGCGCCTGGGCACGGTTCAGATATTCTAGTGTGAGTACACCCTAAAAGACCTGTGATGGGTGCAACAGACAATAGAGACATCAAAAACATGCAGTGTTGGCGGTCCTCCAGAAATGTGGTTGAGAAACACTGATCTAGACAAACCCTGACTTTTTGAGGATGCACAACAAAAAAGATGGGTCTCTGAAAACTGCCCTTTATGGAACGTAGTTCAGATTTGCAAAAATGTTTAGCACCCTCTTGTGCACAGGTGTCAAACTCAGTTCCAAAAGGGCCGCAGCTCTGTACAGTTTAGTTCCAACCCTAATTAAACACACCTGATCAAACTAATTGAGTCCTTCAGGCTTGTTTGAAACATACAGGTAAGTGTGTTGGAGCAGGGTTGGAACTAAACTGTGCAGGGCTTCGGCCCTCCAGGAATTGAGTTTGACACCCCTGCTCTAGTGGCTTTGTCATTTGAAACATGCAACGAAATGTCCCTTGAGCTACAAATTTTATGTTTCTCAAACATGTAGGCAGAGATACCACATATTTCCATTTTCTCATTTTTTTTCAGTAAATGTTTCCCAACTGTTTACCTTTCTTAAGGTCGATTCTGAGTCTCTTTCCACCCTTCTTGTTGTGGTTCTGTAGAGGTGACGGTCCCAGGCTATTTTTTAGGAGAGAGCTCTCAGCACTCTTGCCTCTGGGTGTGGGAGAGAGGTTGATGGGTAAAGGAGAGCCCAAAGAGCGACTCTCAAGACTACTGCTGGACTCCTGAAATTCGGCTTGCCATCCTGAGGAAGACTCTACAGGCCTCACCATGGGCTTCACTTTCAGCGGCGGAGGCTCTTTGGTCTGTGCTGATGCGTCAGGGGTTTCTGGGTTAAACAGGTGGCTGATCACACTCTTCTCAAAACGTTCTTTATTAAAGACCGGAACCACTTCTAAACGAACGATGGATGAACGCATGGCTTGCCGGAATATTTCCTGAGCTCTGGAAAAAGACGAAGGAGAGATAAGGGACGCAAGAAATAGAAAAAGCAATTAGGAGACAATCAATTTTTTATAATTATTTGCAGGTTGTTTGATGAAACAAATGAACCTGGAAACTAAAAAAAAAAAAGGTGGAAATTGTAATACTTTGAATAGTCTTGGCTTAGATAAAACTCGCTCTGACATTTATTCTGACAGCATAATTGGGGTTATGACTAATGAGTCCTACGCATTACAAATGACAAAGCAATCCACCTCCTTCATTTTTGCTTGACTGATTTAATTTAAAAGCCGTCCATCCATCCCGAGTCTAATAAGATTAATGTGACCTTCTACTGGATAGAAGTAATTCTACTTAGCACAAATGTGTATATGTAATATATGTGTAATGTACATGATGACCACAGAACAACTGGGTAATGTTTCAACAGGTATGGTAAAGACTTTAGACCAAACTAGTGCAAGACGAAAACTGATCAACTAAATTTACGAGGAGCCATTTTATGTTAAATTTAAGAGGTTTTCTTCCTTTAGTGAGACCTTTCCAAACAGATTCATTCATAAATCCAACATTAGTGTGTGTATAAAATCTGAAATTGCAGTAAATGCCTGATGGCAACTACCTAAAGAAGAATATTTAACAGTTATATATTTAAATCTACATATATCTACATTTTATCCAAATCGATTCATTGCAGTTTGACATGTGAACATAACATGGACCAAATGTATCTATGTATGCAATGTAATGTATGCAAATATAAAAAAGGCTAAATGCTCAACCAATTTGTTGTTGTAAATAACAGTTCAGGTTTAAGAATGCTGTCTATTTTAAGATTGTTGCGTGAAACAGGAATTTCTTGTGCTATTTTGACTAGTTTTAACATTTTTTAAGTCCTTCTAAAGCTTTCAAATGTATTAATGATTCACTGATAATTGATGCCATAGCATTAAAACAAGTGCATATAGCCAAGCACAGAGCATTGTTTTAGATTTTCAGAAAGCTTGGTTACAACATATATATTATGGACCCTTTTCACAAGCCTGTTGTGATGTGTTTAACAGTCATCAGCATCTTAAAACCTTGAAAGTTTTTAATATTTGTTTTTGTTTTATAATATTTGTTTTTAAAATGTATATACATTTATATGTATTTATGTATGTATAATTTCATCTTTGCTTCAAATTACAAAAAATAAATTACTGCTAATGCGAGGCATTTCTAGTGCAGTATCTATGGGACAGGACAGTAAATTTGATATTATTCTTTCCTCTGTCTGCTATTTTTAGTCTCACTCATTTTTTTTTTTCATTTTTTGAAAGTTTTTATAACATCATTGTGGAGTTTTCATTTTATTATTTGAGAGAATTAAAGTAGAGTGTAAGTTTTCCACAAAGTGCAAAGCGTAGGGTGCAAAAGCATTAAGGGCGTATCCGAATACACTTTTGCTATTTAATGGATGGAAAAATCTGCTTGCGCTGTGGGGCATGGTCTAACAGGGTTGAGTTTATTCTCTTAATGAGTTATAGGCAGGGCAAGACGAAATCTGTTGACGTTTTTTGCTATTTCTGCAGAGAATTTTGGTAAAAATCTGCAGATTTCTGCGGAATTATTTTGAAAGTTACCAGCGGAGTATCATAACTAAAACCCTAATATATTAAATAAAAAGTAATAAATTACTGAATAAAAACTGGATAAATTCAGATTTACACATTTACTCAAGTAAATAAACAGAATTACTAATGGGCTAAAAATCTGCGGAAATCTGCGGAAATCTGCGGAATTCTGCGCGCGCAGATTCCGTGTAGGCCTAGTTATAGGTGTGTTTTGAGAATAAACCAATGAGAGTATCATCTCTCATTCCCTTTAAGTTTCAGTTGCGTCATGGTGCATTTGCTATTTACATGACGAACTTTGTTAGTGGAAAAACTCTCGTGGATAGGAAAACATGTTGTATGCACAGATATTCATTAGCCTAAACATAATTTATTTTGTTTATTAAGCGCAAAAATTTGTTTTAAAACTATAACTCAGTTCTAATTACCAACTAACGAATAAATGAACAATAATAATGAAGTGTGGTCAAAAAACTGAGTAATCTCCAAATACACATGCTGTGCCCCATATGGTCTAAAACCTGAAAGGTGGGCAAATCTAAGCTTGTTTTTTTTTTAATAAAACAAATATAAATATGCATATAATAAATAATACTACAAATAATGACATTATACAAAAGCAAACTGTCATGAAAAAATTAAAAAAGCCCCATCGAGATGAAGTCATGAAAGTATGGTTTTTATATTTATGTAGGCTAGAAAATAATAATTTTTGTAATATTTAATCCTTTATTTATTTTTCATTTGTAAATATATTTGCCTATTGCTGTACATCCTGTGTGTATTAAGCAATGTTTAAGCGAGGCACACAACTAATGCGCTCTGCGCTGGACTTTAGACCTGTTTTGATCTGGTCTATTTTGCAATCTATTATAGATCCTTAAAAAATCAACGCGCCAGCAATGCACTTTAACATGCCTCCTTTTTTTTATACCAGTACGCCTATGGGCACACATATAAGCGCAAATGCATTTGCTATTTAAACAGCATGGTGCAAAACGTCAAAACAACTCTTGCGTCGAGCTAAAACTAGCAAACAACAATTGTGTCACGTCTTGCGCCACATTGCGCTGGGTGTATGATAGGGCCCTACAATAACTTCCTCTACTGAGAAACCCCGAAATGTGAAAAGGATCTATAAACTGTGTTTTTTTCTTGATTTGTATCTTCAGGTTTGGTCTTTAAAAAGCTAAAACAACTTGAACACACAAACAAACGAACAATATGAACCAACAAACAATAAATAAATCACTAAATAAAAATAAGAGAACCAAATTACTTAAGTAAACACAGCTTAATTTCATTACTAGCCTTCCTTAAAAAATCTAGATTTATTTTTCACATAGTTCCAAATACTGGAGATATTTTTTCAACACATTTTTAAACCTACTAACTATTTTTTAATAACCAATTCCTTTTTTCTTCGTCATCATTTGCCATTTTACTAATTAGTTATTTAGCATTCAGCCTAAAGTGCAATTTAAGGCTTAACTGGGTTGAAAAAAATCCCTGAAAACATCCTTCAAAAAAGGTAAAATTGCTAGTTTTTGTTTTGTTGGTTTGGCAAAAATCTGTAAAAATGTCTGTACAACTACATTTAACACGTTTACTCAACCTAAATCGACATTTTCTTCATTAAGGTAAAAAGATTAATTTTGTAAGCAAAACTTTGCAAGTTTACCCAAAGAAGCTTCTGCCTATTTGTTACTTTAAGTTGAGTTAATCTCAGACCTCGAAAAAACAAACGTTGCAGTATTTCTAACCCTAACAACGACAAAAAAATTGTAACACCAATAATAACAATAATGTCATCATTATTAACAACAACAGCAATATACCAAACAATAATGTTTGTTAATTAATTTTTGTTTGTTTGTTTGTTTACTCATCTTCAGGCATTCCAGTTCTGCAGACAAAAAATTATTTAAATATTTATATATATTACAGGAAATACTGTAATGCTGTGAACATTTCCTTGCTCTGTTAAGCATCACTTGGGAAATATTTGAAAAATAATTAAAGTTTCACAGGAGGGCTTATTCGTTTCTGGTAATAAAGGAATGATACTAAAACTAATGATAAAACTGCCAGTCAATGCTGTCCTCACTGAAACAGGCCCAAATCTAAAATTATATGTTAAAAATAGCTCAAACCCCATATCACTTTTTTATATCCTGCTATCTGTAGGTCAGGTAGCACATCTCTAATCTGCATGACAGTGTGCAGTAATGCTCTGTAAGATGAGGAGGTCTGCTACACACAACAAACAGAGCTCAGCAAATGACCGTGACTGCTGAATGGGCTTTGACACCACGGGTCCAGTGTTTTTTTTTTTTTTTTTTTTTGCTTTTCTGACACCCGTCCAGGGTTGATAGCCATAAACAGAGCACAACAATGGACACTTGCTTGTTTTTACAACCATGAAATGAAAGGATAGAGCTTAAAACTAAGTAACACGACAGAAAGGAAAGGATATCGGGAAGTGGTGACAGAGAAAGCAGAGCAGAAAGCCTTTAGCTCTAAGACTCACTGTGAAAAAGACTTGTCCATTAATTCAGTATCATTAATTTTAACGATACACTCATCGTCCTGAAAGATGCCTTCCCGTTTGGAGCGACTGTTCTCCTCCACCCCTCGAATGTGAAGACCCAGAGGCCTGAGAAAAATAGAGCAAATCATAAATTAGCAGCAAAAACAGAGCACAGCACTAGCCAGCAACTGACCATGACAGACTGTGCCACTGTAACATAATAAAACAACAGCACATGACAAATACCAATAATTACAAAGTAATTGCAAGGTAATTACATAATAATTAGAAAAAGTACTCATTAAACAGTGCATATCATTATAGCGTGGAGTCTTTAAACTGCTAAAATGAGGAAAAGAGTATGCATTTATATTCCAGAGTCACTTATGAATGTTTAGAAGATTTAAAGATACCTGCAAATCTAACTTAAACAAATACTAAGAGATTCACCTGATCTTGATTTTGGCATGCAGGATGGGACTAGGATGAATATTTAAAGTGCACATACTGTATGGTGTTTTTGTGTTTCAAATGCATTGTGTTTTTATAGGCTGGCATTCAACAGTGTGTAAAAACAAACATATACACAACCAGCCAAAAGTTTGGGGTCAGTACGATTTTTAAAAGTTTTAAAATAAGCTTCTACTGCTCACCAATGTTGCATTTATTTAATCAAAAATACATTCAAAAATCTGTGAAACTGTGAAATGTTTTGCACTACAAATTAACTGTTCAAAGTAGTTTATAATTTAATTTGATAATTTATTCCAGTGATTTTAAAGATTAATTTTAGCTTCATCACTCCAGTCTTCAGAGTCACATGATCCTTCAGAAATCCCTCTAATAATAATTATTATTATTTTTATGATTATTATCATGAATATTAATAGTAATAGCAATAAAAGCAATAATGACTGGATTAATAATTTCATGTGTAACTATACACAATAAGTTATAAATAATTATTTATTATTTATATAAGTAAGTATTTAACAATATTTTTTTTTTACATTTATTAAATGCCGCCTTGATAAACGGAATCATTTATTTAAATTGTTAAATAAAATTAAGAATTAATTTAAAAATAAAACTGACCCCAAACTTTTGACCAGTAGTGTATATCTCATATATGTCTAGCTATCGCATTTGTTGTTTTTTGTATAAGCAAAATAAAACTTTAAAAATAATCTTCATAGTAAAAAGCAATAAATTTACTTTACAAATTTGAATGTAGCTGTTGCTTTTAAAAGATTAGTTGACTGTACTTAAAAAAGTGAATAAACCCAATGCCTTAAAATTATGTTAATTTAAATTAATTTATTTCAACAGTTCTACAACAGTTTTACACACAATCCTAACCATAAAACGTATGATGTGCCCTAACATTTTGCTTTTTTTCAGATGCTTATAAACATACAACCCCTGGCAAAAGTATGGAATTGCCACTCTTGGAAGTGGTTCATTCAAATGTTTAATTGTGTTGAAAAAAACAACCATACATGCCACAAAACTATTTTCATTCAACAGTCCAACCTTCTGGCTGTATGAACCACTTTAAAAAAAATGGACTACAATAACAAGTTAACAACATTTATGTACAAGACAGCATACAACGTACAAGAAAAACGAAAAACTTAAACTCATTTGAGAACTGGATTTTGTAGCCTTGAGTTT